TGAAATTAACAAGAAACCACCTTCAGCTTAGGTTTCTGCATATTGGTCCTCATCTCAAACCTCCACTCAACCTGACAATCAGAGTGATAGTTCAAAAATTATGCTAAATATCAGAAACTGATGTTTCTATAATCCGTCTGACCAATGCTTAGTATGAATTCTAGCTTATATCTTTAGTGGCATTTATTTAAAGTTTTTTTGTTTTGTTTTTTTGCTTTTTTTGTTTTTGTTTTTTTTTTTGCTCAATGCTGAAAGAGAGGACAGAGTGAGTATTTCACAAGAAAGCAGAATTTTTTTTACCACACCATAATTGGCTACTTCGTTAGCATGCATGACCTATGTACAGAGGCTTAAGTCCACAATGCGGCTGACCCGGGTCGAAAACGGCCTGTGGTCCTTTGCCGCATGCCTCTCCCTCTGTCTTATGCCCCCTTTCCTGTCAGCCTACTTTCCAATAACACTAGTGCTGCAAAAACAAACAAAAAAGAATAAATACCATACTTATTTCAGTTCTATGGTTTAATGCTTGTTTAGTGGAATTCAGGAAAGGAAAACTGGAGCAACGGGATGTTTTTTCTGCCTGTTTCAATATCCTATTGACCCCACATCTATCATTCAAAGCAAAGCATCCCTTCACCTTTTAAGAAAGGAAAACTGGGCTTTCAAGAAATATTTTCCAAGTATAAAACAACCAAAAAGGTCATATTAGACTCACCAAAATATCCAAGTGACACTTTTTTAATGTACTGTAGTAATAAAACTGTAGTTGGTGAGCTATGGGCACCTATCAGGAAAAGTCTGGTCCAGATGTGCAATGCATCCAGGACATGCGCAGGATGTGGCAAACCAGAGCAGATTTAGATGTGCTCTATGTTCCAATTCCAGTATCTGCAGGCTGGGCTAATCACTTGCTGTACCAGAATTTCTTTCATTTCACAAGAGTAGACAACAACTAAATCATCAGTCCTCTGTTTTGTAAGTAACCACACTTTTCATTTCCACCACAGCTATATATACTAAACCTTTATCATGTAAGAAAAATAAATTTAGCGTCCTGCTTGACATCAAGGCCTGGCTTGGCCTCAGACATGAAATCTGACTCTATGAATGAATTTCACTTTATTAATTAAATTTGTTGAATTAAATATTAAAATAAGCTTCTTCTTCTATTTTTATTTTTTTTTTATAAAAATCTTCATTATTGGAATGCAACAGGTTGTACACATCAGATATATAAGAACCTGTGATTATTGATCATTTGCATTAAATCCATCTCCTTCTTTTGGTTCTGTTGTTTCTAAATATCTAATCCTGTTATGCAGGAGGCCAAAAGAAATGCATATTGTCATAATTTTTATTGGTACTAGATATGAAATAGTACCAACTATTCATTGTGTTTCTTAAACTTAGGCCACATTTTTGATTGCAGCTATCCATAGTTGTTCACAAACTTACTTCAAATTCTTCTTCCTTGGTGTTCAGTCACCACTCTGGTTTTGTAATTAATCAATCAGAGTACAGATCAGGTTCAGTGAGTCCAGCCTAGGCCAACACAATCCAAGCCCAATCAAAACACATGAATTGTGCTTTAATTTTAAATCAGCAAGCAGGGTATTTTAACCAGGAATCAGAATTTTACATTTTTAAGGATTCCAGGAGAATGACAATTTAGCCTCAGTTCCAATCGATTCTCCAGATTCTGACTGGCCAATCCCACGCCTCGATTTGACCCCAAATGGTAGATTGTTACTAGCTCTCATTGAATGCCATATCCTCAATTACAATACAAAATCCAAAATCCTGTCTGCATTTTGGTGAAATCCACAAGACTTGACATCAGTATATCCATAAGAGCTGGGCATCATTTTATATTCAGAAGTCAAAGTTCCATATTTAAAACAATCAAGTGTTTAAATATTTGGACAATAAAAATTGACAAACATTTTTTAAGGTTAATACTGATATAGATTATTTTTACATCAGACTTGGACATTGTTGTTTCTTCCGCCATTGACATGGTAGGAAAAAAAATACAATAAAAAAAAATTTCAATAAAACAACTAAAATAATATCAATGGATAGCAAATGGAGGGAGCGGCATGACATGCGCCTCACAAGACCTCAAGACATGGCTGCTAAATGCACTAATGAAAAGACAAACACATGCATCTATTGGTTTTGGCAACAAATACATGAAAAAAAAATCTGAAAAGGCCCCAAATATCAGCTGCCGTGTGTCTCAATCTATACCAAAAAAAAGAAAGCAGAATATGCTTTCAGAGTTTTTATTTTTCCTTTTCTAATTTAATTTCCGTTCTAGTTTCACCTTGCTCGTATTATTATTCAACCATTATAACCAATGTTGCAATGAAGGCTCAGATGGAGACATCAAATAAACATCAATCCTTTGCTAACGAGCTTTTCTCTCTCTGCTGGATGTAAACGATTAAAAAAAGAACAAAGCAGAGCTCCCTTGATCAAAGAAGATGCTTAGACAAATAATCACTCAGAGGGCAAAAGAAAATTATAATGAATATAATTTTCAAGTTTTTTCAGTGTCATTCCATAGGCAGAACTCTGAAGGCATCGTTACATAAGAAGTAAAGTGAAAAGTGGGAAAATTAGTCACATTCAACGGTAAACATGCCTAGATTTACACATGAATGAATATTCAGCTTCACCTATGCACACACAGATTCACATGAACATTTTCTCATCAGCCTACTCTCCTCCTTCTGACAACAGCCTCTTTGTCAGAGTTTTAGCTGTCATTACAAATCAGCATTGTGAGAGGATTAAATCCTTGAGCCTGGTTCCCCAGCATTGCAAAATGCTGTGTTGAAATCATTGCACCAGTGTGACATTGATTCTGATCTGTCCAAAAACTAAATAATCTAATACAGTTTGGGGGCATACTAAAAATAAACAAACAAAAACTCCTAAATTTCAAATTGAAAGAATAAATAAACATCTGAGTTGTTAACAAAGAGGCATTTTTTGTTTAAAAAAAAAGCTTTGGCTCATTAAATTTACCCTACGTGGCATAGAAAACAAAAATTACAACTTGCAAAAGCATTGACCTTAGGAATTTTTTAAAAGGTTCATAACGCTAATATGCAAAAAAAAAGGGGAAATCCTTTTTGCTCTTTATCAAACTAAATACAACTTCAATGAGAATGTTTTTGTCATTTTTTCGTTCTTAAAGATTGTACATTATAGGTAATAGCTATGATCTTGCTCATCAAAACAACAATTTCTTTAAAAGCAATACATCTATGTCTAGAAAGAATCTGGGCCAAGAGAATGTCTAGAGTGGGACGGAATAAAAGTATTTAAACAATAGTTTTATAAATTTAGGCCCAGAATATAAAAAAATGTACTTTTGGTTACGATGCCAATATTGACACAAGACGATTCAGTCACTAAAATTAGTATTTTGAAAGGTCATGTGAGACTGAGCAGGCTTCAATGTTGCCAGCTAAGTTACTTTGTTGCTATAAAAAGAGTCTTCTCAGAAGAAAATATTCAGGCTAGTATTGTAGTGCAAATCATTCATCATTAGAAAGGACATAAAAAATATATGAAAGTAGAAGAAAACACCATGCAGACAAAGTATAAGTGTGGTGCCCAATCCCAACTTCCTGCTGCCATTATGTAAATTCCTGCACACATAGGGGTCCCTGTGCATACGTACATAAAAACAAGAATTATCTTATTTTTTTCTCCACTAGGAATACCTTGATGTTTCTTCTCTGGAAGAGATCAAATGTCAAACTTTACATTCTCTTGTTTCCCCTTTTAATTACACGTGTGGTTTAAAAAAGAATATCTTTCTTTTTGACAGCATCAGAGGACATAATGTTCCAGGAAAATAATGTTCTCTCGTCAGGTTCCAACAGAATTAGAACAATATGAGCATCAGATGAACCTGGCTGCCACAGATCTTAACAAGTTCATAAATGCCACACCAAATATCTATGTCATTGCTACAGAATCAATGCAGCCATGACTGACACATAACAGTCAAATATCCAATTTGAGTTTGACCAAATTTTACTTAAAACGAAACGCAAGATACAAACATTTCTATTTGTTATTCTTTTCTAATTAAAACCTATCAGGGCGGTAGACATTTCTATTGGCAATAACCAGAATTCATTCATCCATCCATCCATCTTCCATCACGCTTTTCCCAAGCGGGGTTGCAAGGGGTGCCTATCTCCAGCTGTCTATAGGCGAGAGGTGAGGAACACCCTGCACAGATCGCCAGTCCATCGCAAGGCAACACAGAGACAAACAACCATTCACACACACACCTAAGGAGAATTTAGAGAAGCTAATTAACCTAACAGGCATGTTTTTAAACTGTGGGAGGAAGCCAGAGTACCCAGAGAGAACCCACACATGCTCAGGGATAACATGCAAACTCAGTTCGGAAAGACACCAGGCTTGCTGCATGGCAGCAGTGCTAACCACTGCACCCCTGAGTAGCTCCAACCAAAGTTCAATAACCTTCAATTAATGTCCATTATCCATGTAAAGACAGTTTAATTCCCGTTTCTACACATCACCCTTGGGTGCTGCAGCAGTTTTGTTTCCCCTATCCTTTATCCCCAACTCAATAACCACAATGTCTTTAGAGCACTCTGGAGGGCTTCTGGTGTAATACTGGGTGACACCTCAGCTGTCCATACTAATAGAAATTTCCTAACAAATTTGATAACATTGTGGAGCCTGAAGGTGATGTGTCTGATACTTTATGAAACTGTCACAGTTTGGCTTAACCAAACGGTGATGAGGAGCTTTCAGCTTACAAACTGGTCAGCTCAGCACAATTCACCAGAAAATACCAGATATAAACCTTTTAAGTTTGCAACAAAAATATATGGTATTATCCAAAGAGAAGCTTTGTATTTTGTTTTTACCTACACAGCAAAGTGCAATCTTAAAAACAAAATTTGGGAGAAATGTCAGGCACGACCAAGATACAGCATTCCTACCTGCTCTGCGAGCCTCAAAGCATGCATGACCCATCTCATCCTTCAGCTCCTGGTTTTCTGAGGCAATGGCCTCCCCAACAGCGACAAAACGACCCACTGCCACACTAACTGCCTGACCCACACGGTGGATAGAGGCCAAGGTCCGCTCAGACTTCTTTGGCCTGTCTTTGTGGTTAATCAGCGTGGTGATCTGCAGAGAGATAAAAATTCAGGACATTTTCATTAAATCAACATTTATTCAGAAAAAAATAAGTTATAACAATGTCATTCTTTTCATCTGAAAGGAAGGAATAAATAAATTACAATGGGGGGCATAAGCAGGGAAGCAAAACTTTTCAAAGTTTGGAATTGCAATCATTTAAATAATTCTATTTTCCTCTCCATACAGTACCACATCTGGACATAACTGCATAAGGTGACTACCTTTCTAGTTGATATAACTATGTATAAAATTTGTTTGTCTTCCAATGAAAACATGATAAAAAAAAAGCTTTCAGGGAGATATTACTTAGTAATTATGAAGATATTTTTAAAAGTATTCTTTGCAGATGTTCTCAGTTTTCTTGTAAAACAGAAATAAGAACCAAAATGTCAAAATATTTAGGAAAACAGTGCAGTGGTTTACACATGACATAACAGTACTGTAAAAGAGAAAAGGCTGAAAAGGCAGCCAGGTTTGTTGGGTCTCCTATAAAGAACAGTCCCTGATATGGATACCAGAAACAGACCCACATATGTTCTTACAGTGATAGGTGTCAGTTATAAATAGATCAAGACTGTCATTAAATATGTATTGGCTGCTTGTGAGTCTGTGAATGTGTGTGTGATAAATCATTTAGTCCAGGATGAGGTGGGGGGTATTTTAATTGCTGCATGACAGTAGGTGGTCCAAGAGGGGAATCTGTGACAGCAAATTATCCCTATTGACAAATCTATCTAAAAAAAAAATGCTTCTTGTAAAACCTCGATCTGTCTGTTTTAGCTTTCTGTTTTATGTCTTATACTCCTGGAAAAAAAAAATCAAAGGTAAAATCAGTGTGAGTTTTTATCATTCATGTTGTTCAAACTGAGAGATTTTAAAGAAGCACCAGAGGTGTCTTAGATCAATGTTTCCCAATCTTTTTTGACTTGTGTAAATGCATTTGTCTTATCATGAGTACCCCCCTCAGTCCAGAGTATTGCTAAATGCCCAAAACTGGAAGGTACAATAACTAATAATAAAATGAAAAGTTTTTTTAACTATCTTACTTTACTTATTTTACTCATCTAATAAACTTCAACTTGGAACTCTTTGGCATGTTACTCTTTCCAATTAAATAAAAAAAAAAAACAATAACAAAGATTTTGCCCAGAAGCCAGTAAGGATTCAAAATAAATACAAACAGGAGCACCTTAGTAAGTCCCCTTTAATAACATTTTAACTTTAGGAATTGGGGACAAAATACTAAACAAAAATTATGATCAGATTGAATACATTTGTTTTACTTTGTTTTCATCCTTCATGACACCTGAGCTTGTTTTGATGAGATGTGGGGAAACAGCTGATACCAGGCTGTTCTCTACATCCAGTCTGTTCCTCAGCCTGGTTTTAATTTTTTTACTGTAAGAGCAAATACCTTAAAGAAGCTTAACAAGCTGTTAATATTGGCTGTAAACTTCTCTTGAACCTCAGGAGACGATTTCACAGAGAAAATGTTTTCATAAAATTAAGAACATTCTGAACAACCATGAACTCTCTTAAAGTTATTTAAAGAACAACAGAGTGTCTTGAGTCAGAGACTTTGCCCAGTTCCACTAAGAGACATATCACTACACTGGATACTTCTTACCTATAGCTTTTAACAACTTAAGAAAAATCTTCAATTTATAACAATATTTACTTTTTCTTTGGGATTAATAAAGTATTTCTTAATTGAACTGAAATAAACAAAAATTATTTCCTATACAAATGACTAAACACTGCCACCCTCAGCATATAAACTAATAGTTATAAAACACAAGCTAAGTTTTCATCCAAAGGTTATCTAAATTTTAAGCATCCATCTTTCATCATGCCTATCTCCAGCCGAGAGGTATAACCTGTACAGGTCACCAGTCCATCGCAGGCCAACACAGAGAAACAACCATTCACACACACACTCACACCTAAGGAGAATTAGAGAAGCCAATTAACCTAACAAGACTCCGCACCGGGAGTCAAACCCAGAACCTTCTTGCTGCAAAGCAGCAGTACTAACCAATGCACCACTGAGCAGCCCAACTTTAACCAAACTTTTAAAATGTCTTTAAAAAAAAGAAAATATGAATTAGAAATGTTTCCATCCATTGGCGCTAAGTGACAAGGTCATTCAAAGCTGGACTGAAGTTTCAATAAAAGTTTTACAATTGGCAAAGTTGAATTCAGTGTATCCAGAACAAGAGAGAAGTGGGATTCTAATGTAAATCCCAGAGCAGATCTTGAATTCCTCCCTAAGGGTAGGCATACATTACAATTTTGTGACGATTTTTTAGTCATGAGAACATTTTGGGGGATTAGGCTTCAGCCTCATTGCGCATCCTGCATCATGTAGTATATAGAGGATAATAAGGGGTGATTACGATCACAGTTACCTCCCAATCTGAAATCATATGGTCGAATACAAATCAAACATGTTTAAAAAATCCGTCGGCCCTCGTAAAAAGATTTAGAGAATTGCAGTACAAAAGTAAGCTGCCATTTTACTTGCAGTACCAGTGGCTAATATTAATAATTCCTGTTTTTATAGACAGACAAAAAAAAAATAACATACTATTTTTCAACCACTTTTTTTTTATCTCTAAAATATTTCTCACTATTCTGTTTTGGTTTTACTCTCCTCACAGCTGTTTTTCTGTCTCTCCTTTTTTGGCTACCTGTCATCAGATGACATCAAAATCACAAGGAAAATAGCCCCTCCCCTTGAATTTCCGTAGCAGAGCAGACTGGATTGTGTGTAAGGGAAAAAAGTGCGGCAACTGGAGGAGAGACAAAGACTCTTTAATAATCATATCACATGCAAAAAAAGACAGCAACATGCAGAAATTGCTGAATGGATTATTATATCGCTTTAGCTGTGCTCCTATTCTATGGTCTGCATAAACTGCATACTCACTTGTGCCATTGACTATACCTACTGCAGCCAGTGTGATAGGAAACAAAAAATCACATGGGAGCATGCAGAGTCGGACGCAAGCTGTATGAGCCTTGTGATGGGCATATAAACACATAAAGAGAGGAAAGAAACTTTCCCAAAGAGGGAGTAGAACGCAAGCCCTCAGATGGATTTCCTCCGTTCGGGATTATACTCGATTTGGTACATTTACCGGACAGTGCAAACAAGAACAGAGCCGGGTGGAGAAAACATAATATTGATTCAGTGCCATCCCACAAGGGAGGCCTTTTTTGTGTTTGTGCATGCATCAGTGGAACCTTGTGGAAAGGTGAAAAGTGCACATTCCTTTTAACGTATGTCAGTGGAGGAAAAAAAAAAAATCTTTACAAAAAGCAAAGTTTAAGTTAAGTTTGAAAACAAACTTTGACTAAGTCCCACTAAACATTTGACTGTTCAAAGAAGTAAATATTGTTTTAATATGGAGGCATTGCAGAAACTAAACAATAGAAAAACAACCATATCCTGTAAACTTTAAAACATGCATGAATAATGTTCTGAAGTTTAAACTTGCAAACATTTGTACAGCGAGAACTATGTTGCTGCTTGATAGTATGAAAAATACTATAAATGTCTTTAATGCTTTAGGCTTCAAGTTGAAGTAAAATGTTACAGCTAAACACTCTCCCTGGTAACCTCCTTCTGCTTTGGTATTCAGCCTTCACTACTTTACAATTCAGCTCTCATCTCTTTCTTATGCATAATAAGAAAGACAATTGTAAGACCACAAGAAAACGCCTCACTGTGCCTCTGTGTGAATAACAATATGATAACCAAGTCCACCCACTGGTTAGCAGGAAATTTAGGCCAACACCTCAAGGACACAGTGACTAACTATAAATCTGAATGCAACAAAAGGTGGAAACATTTGTGGCTGCCTCCCATGGCTACAGATTAGGTTTCACTGAATAGTCATGCTGGGAGAAAGTTTGATGATATCAGTATGCCTCTGTCCTGCCGCCCATTTTTTTTCAACTGTTCTGACTCTTAATTTTAAATACATAGAATGCGTTTAAAAATATAATTTGTCAGCCCTTTTTTTCTCTGGTGACATAGTCGTGTCACTTTTGTCATTTGAGAACTTTTCTTACAACAGCCAGCATGAAAAAGTCTGCACGGTTTTGAATGAGCTGAACTAAGAGGCCCGCTGGGACTTTTATTAAACACACATTGTAGATGCTCATTACAATAATTGCTTGTTTGGCGAGTCCTGTGTTGGCCTGATTGTTTGGCCCATTTGTCTCACTGATTGCTGTTAAGCTCTACTTGGCACACAGACAGAATCAGTTACTCACTGTGGGCTTTTTTTAAGAGTAGAAAGTCTAAATCTTAAGTAAAACTCTTAAAACTGTAAGAGTAATTAGGCTTTTCTATGTGCATGAATAAAGGAATGTCACTGCCTAAACCATATAACAATGCTTCCACACTAACCCTTTGAAATGCTTTTTAGAGTGTCAGGTTTCAGGAGTGGATCACGTCAGCGTGTACCCATTCCAAAGAATCATACCCTGGCATGGTTACAACTGCACGGTCTCGCCGTTGTTTATCCAGACCCTTGAGCGGTTTGCTTGCAGTATGAATGAGTGCCAAGTCCCAGTGTACCAAAAGTAGAAAAAGAGAATGGGCCTAAGCACAACATTTGATTAGAAGAAGAAAAGGAAGAATACAAAATAAAAGCTTGAATCCAAAGTGTCTCCTGGGGCTACGTGGAGTAGAGAACATCAAAGTAGCAACAGAAACCCCAGCATTGCCAAACGTCTGCAGTTTCAATTTGTGGTCTGATTACCTGCTTTTGGTGTTGAATAATCTTTTGTTTTTATTTGTGCTTTTCTTTTTTCTTTAATCAGCACAATGCTTCTCCCCCCCAAAAAAAATCATTGCAACTGCATGATGTTTTCTGGTGCCATTAAAAACTACTTAGCTCAAACAATTTTGTCAAATTCTGATATGGAATCTGAAGTAGGGGTGCAAATAATAATCGTTTTATATTGATGCATCAATC